GGTGGGAAGTAACTATTTTTGTGAATGTGTAGGTTGAATGTTTTTTTGTGCCTATTTTCTAGTTTCAAAAGAGAAATATTTATTTTTTTTTCTTAATTTCCAAGTCTTATAAATAAATAAAATAACTGCATAATATGGCAGGCAATATTAATCTTTTTTGTGAATTCGTATGGTTGAATCTTTTTTGCCTATTTTTAGTTTCAAATAATTTTAAACTCCAACTTTATTGGAGATGTGTCCAAAAAAATAACACTTGTTTAATTGTGATTATGCCACTTGACATCATTACATGCTTTTGCTTCTCCTTTTATATATAAATAGATTCGAACGACTCCAAGTTAGATTGAATTGCATTGATGCTTGAAATTTGTCTGATTGTAGCCATATTTGCAATGTTGTTGTAATACTGAGCGGAGAAAATAGGGATTGAAAAAGAAATTTAACATATGAAACCGCATAAATCGTGCGTCATGTTTGAGTTAGTTTAGAATTATTGTTGAACCCCACGTTTGGAAGATGATGAGTCGTGGGTTTCATCCTCAGGACTATTTTTTTTTTTTTTAAAATGACGGTGGGAAGTAACCATTTTTAGTTTCAAATAATTTTAAACTCCAACTTTATTGGAGATGTGTCCAAAAAAATAACACTTGTTTAGTTGTGATTATGCCACTTGACATCATTACGTGCTTTTGCTTCTCCTTTTATATATAAATAGATTTATTTTAGAATGAAAGTTAGAGTGAAAATTAAAAAAAAAAATATTTAGACCAATTTTTGTATGTCTAATCAATGATTTCTCCTACTTCAATTGAATTATTTTATTATTTAATTTTTTGTAGCTTAGGGTGTAATCCTATCTATTTTGCATACTTTTATGGTATTTATTTTAATTATACGAAGTAGAGATTGCGCTATCACTCTTCCTGAGAAGATCTCTAACTATGTATGTAAAACTTAAAAAATCGAGACACAAATTAGTTGACCAATTATATTCATTATTAAAATGATTTTTGAATACTTAAATCTCACTGCACTATAACAAGGAATTTAGTGCTCGAGAATAGGAGGTGGAAAAAACAGAAAACCCACTAGACTCTTCACAAGTGAAAAAGATAAAGGGGGCAATCCCTCTTAGTAAGAATTTTAGAGGGATATAATTAGAAGTTTTATATCTTATCAGGGGCTGAATGAGATATACCAATATAACCAAAACCATAAAAGTTTCCAGAGAACACTTCTGCTGAAGCTTAGAAAAGGCTTACAGCTTTTGATCAGAGGTAAGTACATAACCCATTTCATATTTACAATCAATTCTCAGTATTTCAAGTAGAGTAATCAATTTCAAAATATCAATTTCCGTTTTCACAGATTGTTCATGCAGCAATTGGAAAGCACAAGTTTTAATTTTTCGAATGCATAAGTAATTCAAATTTTCTGGGTATTTTCCATCAATAGATAGAATATTCTGGAATTGGAATGAGATGGACCCGAATAGAGCAGAATGGATATAGAAAATTCATATAGCTGACACCAACTAGTTTGGATTGAGGCATGAAATTGGAATCTTTTTCATTTTATTTCGTCAATTTTGGATAAGAACTTAGAAATCAAGTTTCATTCAAATTAGTAAATAAAGTAATTGTTTTGACGAAGAAGATGTGACTGTGGGAGCTTCGGTCTAGTGGTAAGAGCGCAACACGTGAAGTGTGTTAGGCTCACATCACGGGTTCAAATCCTAATGCAAACAGAAAGCCTGGTTTTTGAATGGAGAAAGGTGAGACTAGAGAGGCGGAGATAGTAATAAATGCAAGAATATTACTTCTATAATCTCATCACTTTTTGCTTCGCCATAGCTTGGGTTTAATACCTCAAAGATGATAAATTTTTGGATTGTATATTAAATTAATGAATATTACCTCTAGATGGTCTGATATTAATTGAACTTCCATTGGCAGATAATTTAAAGCTGGCTTACTCTGCGGCTGTCAACAGAAGGCAGCTGTTCTTGATAAGGTGTTTGGGAGGTTCTGCTGGGAAAAAGAACTTTAATTTTCAGAGTATTAGAATGCAATCTGTAATGAGTAGTGGACCAAGCTTGGAGGCTGATGCTGTCAGCATTTTGAGATCAATAATTCCAGGCCTTGAATCAACTAAGCATAAAGGCCAAGCTGGTGAAAATTCTTTCTGATTCCTATTTACTTGCATTTAAATGCGTTACCCCCCATCTATAAGTTTGAATTATTAAATAATAAACAGTTTTATTTATTTAATTGAGTCTTTACATGCACCCTTATTTGCGTGCCGTATTCTTTTTTGTTGGCAGAAATCGTGGATATCTATTTATGATTGGTGGCAGGAATCCCGAATTCATAACCTTTTCCTGCTCCGACCATGTTAAATTGAGTGTGTAACTACATTGGGCTTTGTTCTAGATGACCATTTAGTGTCTCTTCCAATGCAATAGGCCGTTGAAGACATATTTTTTCCCCTTTTTGGAACTGTCATGTAATTATCTATTCATTTTGTGAGGCATTAGATCATTCAGTGTCGACACTCAGTTTTTCTAGTAAAATCCTACTAGGACTGCAACAACAACATACCCAGTGTATAAACCTTACCCCTACCTTGTGAAGGTAGAGAGACTATTTTCCAGAAGACCCTCGGTTCAATGAAAGCAAAATTACAACAGTTATGACAAAGAACTACAGAAAGAGAAGCAGTAACAACAACCAGAAAAATAATATAATCGAAGCAAAAGAAACATCTGGTAATAATAAAGATCTAAGAATAGGGAATACGAGGAATATATTACTACTACATATATGGAAAAGAAGTACAGGTTTGAAAAAGGAATATGCTCGACTAGCGACCCGGCCGGTCGTTTTGAGTATTACAACCCTGTTTCCCCATTTACTGCTCAAATTGGGCTTTACAGTTGTTGTGTGACTTGACGGGGCAATTGGTTCGGGTCCGGTGAGGTTTTGGAATGAATTGGAACACTTAGTTCCAAGGTTTAAAGCTTAAGTTAAAATAGTGACCGGATGTCGACTTTTGTGTAAACGACTCGGAATTTAATTATGATGATTCCAATAGCTCTGTATGGTGATTTTGGACTTAGGAGCGTGTCCGAAAAATTATTTGGAGGTTCGTAGTGGAATTACGCTTGAAATGCCGAAAGTTGAATTTTTGGGAAGTTTGACCGGGGTGTTGACTTTTTGATATCGGGGTCGGAATCCGATTATGAAAATTTGAATACCTCCGTTATGTCATTTATGACTTGTGTGCAAAATTTGAGGTCAATCGGATGTGAATTGATAGGTTCCAGAGTCGTTTGTAGAAACTAGAAATTTCAAAGTTCATTAGGCTTGAATTGGGGTGCAATTCATGGTTTTAGCGTTCTTTGAGGTGATTTGAGGGTTCGACTAAGTCCGTATGATGTTTTAGGACTTGTTGGTATATTTGGTTGAGGTCCCGAGGGGCTCGGGTGAGTTT